AGTATATCTTAAGAATAAGAGGAGATACAGGCTTTGTAAGCACACCATTCTAATCCTCTCTTCTTAGAGATTACAATAGCAATGCTTAGGTAAGCATAGCGCTATACCTAAGAGGGAAATACGCTAGATAAAGATTATAAAAACAAAGTCTTATAACTTTACAAGATGAACTCTAGCTAGTAGCAACAAGAATAGCTTAAGTCTTTTAACTGCTTAAGTCTTTTAACTGCTTAGGTCTTTTTACTGCTTAAGTCTTTTAACTGCTTAAGTCTTTTAACTGCTTAAGTCTTTTAACTGCTTAAGTCTTATAGCACGTGGTACAAGCTTAGCAAATGTATTGCGGTATCAAGGGCAAATGTATATAACGAGTGTATTGTGTTCTTCTGTGTTGTTGTGTTGCTTGTATCTTTGCTCTCCAAGGCTCGCTGCGGGGTCTATTTTTGATGACGTGTTTGTGATGTAGCTGAGGTAAGAGGTGCTCAACAACATGAGGAAGTAGCACCAAACCACCGCCAACAACGCGTGATCTGCTTCTCCTCTCAACCGTTACACTATACCTTGGTCTGTGCGACCTATAACCAACCTATACCCTACCCTAGGTAAGGGGTACCCATCCGCCAGTCTACTTATGTCAGATAACAGCGAGCGGCGATAGGTCGGATCTGCGCAATCGAGCAGGGACCTGTCGCGCAGCCAATCAGCAGTTGCCAGGTCGATTAAGCGAGGCCTGGCAACTCCTGATTGGCCCGCACACAGGCGGCCGCGAACAGCGCTAATTCCCCCCCACTTCAATCCTGTAGCAATGAGCACAACGCGGACAACAGACACTATTATTACAATTATTAATAAACTATTATACCACCTAAGATTCTGTAAAGCATATACTCTAGCTTATAGTACAAGAATCTGATAATTAAGAGTCTTACTGCTGCAACTAAAATAGCGCAACTAACATACCACAACCCAACAACAGTCCTTAGGGACCAAGCTAACTAGACTAGCTAGCTTGCGCAGCTACAGGCAAGATGCCTGTTGCGCAACATCTAGGACGAGATCAATCTAAAAATAACTACACCACTACTATTAAAGCTACTCTTGCTAAGGGCTCTAACTATTACTAACTACGCGCTAGCCACAAACATTAACATACTATTAAGGCTAACTAAGCTATTAATAATAGGCTAGAAGGTATTTAAGTAAGTAAGATTTCAATTTAGAGTGCTGCCTAGTTCCCTTTTAGGTCTAGAAACACTATGTACTTGCTTTTGTGATTAGGGCCAACATGCTCTATTAGAGCTAAAAACCCCTGCCTTGTCTGTGTCTGCTGCCTTCTGTCCTAGTCCTGTCTAGTACCTGTCTGTGCTGCCCTATAGTAGGGGAGCAGAAGGGCTTGTGTAGGTGTTAGCCTATAGCTGTAAATAGGGACTACCCCCTAGTGTTAGTCTATTCCACCTCTAGCGCCACTTAAAACTGCTCTAGCAGTCCTGTGTCCAACAGCTACCTGCCTGCTGCTGCAACCTTCTCCTAGTTTATCAGAATTTGTAGGAGATCTGTTGTGCCCGCCCTTTCTATCAGCTTAAGCCTCGCCTCCCTCTGGTCTGGGCAGAACGAGAGGACGTGGCTAAGAGTCTGCCTAGGGTGTCCGCACGTGCAGTCAGGGTTGGTGCCTGGTACCCTAATTCGTGCTAGCCACGCCTTAAGCCCGAGGACCTCTGTGCGTAGCAACACAATTGCTGTAGCTACGTGTTTGGGAACGCCGTTATATAGATGCAGTGGCTGGAAATCCCAGCTCTCCTTCCACGTAGGCGCCGACCTGTGAGGTTTTGCTGCCTGAAGCTCCCATCTCCTCCTCCATCTGTCCGTGAGGTCTATGGCAATCTCCTTAATCGTGCTCCTTAACTGTATCTGCCTTCTATTAGGCTTGTTCCTTAGACCTATAGCGGCAGTAGGCTGGCGGAATGGGTATACTCCAACGTCCTTCGTGGGTACCCCCCAAAACTTTGTCAATAATACATGGATTCTAGC